TTTCCTTTTATCACAGAGCTTAATTTTATTCTTTACTATTCCCAATTTGTGGTTTCTTTTCTTATACCTATCCAAATTTCATATTCATTTTCAAGTATTACCTCTTCAATGTACACACTTGATACAATTATAATTTCATACTCAAGTCAGTCACTAACTCTTTTCCAAAAGACCATAAATCAAGCCTATAGCAGTATGTCTGGTTTTGTTCATCTCTGTTGTCTCTGTATCCACCAGATTACACAAAATACAGGAAGAAGGAAGGAGGTAGGGGAGGAAGGAAAGAAAGTACGGAGGGAGGCAGGAAGGGAGGGAGGGAGGGAACAAATCAGCTTGCTTTCCTAGTTGAGACAGCCCAAAAAGAAAGAAATTTTTCAGTAACTACTCTACCTTGGCTGGCCTGAGATCTAGATAGACTCAAATCCAGAATATTACTGCTACTATAGTACTACCGGAACACTGTAAGCAGAAAAGAACAAATTAGTCAATGAAGAACAATGAGCTGGAAGGATTTATAAAAATGTAGGGAAGTTACATATGTACACCTGCTTTTACGAATTATAACCTAGACAACATAGAGATATTATATTATCCTAAAAAACAAAAGTAATGGTGATATTATTATACCTCTGTTTTATATTTACTATTGAAAATGGTTCACTATAATAAAAGATTTATTTTAAGAACTACTTACTAAAGCTATTGGAGTTAATCCAAATGAATATGTTAAAGAAAAGCTTTCAAATTTGTACAATTTCATGGTGCAAAATGCTTCCTCAAATATGAAGACAGTGCCTGCTGGGCATGGAGGTACATACCTTTAATTCTAGCAATAGGAAGGCAAAGCTACTGTCTCTGTGAGATTAAGGACAACCTCATCTACATTATCAAGTTTCAGGACAGCCAGAGATATATGTGTAGAGAGATTCTGTCTCAAAACAAACAAAAAAAGGAAGAAATAGTTGCTAGACTTTCTAAATGATCTTAAGTAGTATAAAGCAGAGAAAATTAAGTGATTCTTAATGAAATTATCAAATCCCTATGAATAATAAGAATCAACTCTTAAGTATATCTTATTCCCTCTCCAGAGGAACCGGTTCCTTGCAACTCAACAAAAAAAAAAAAAAAGAAAGAAAGAAAGAATAAAACAGACAAACAAAACTTTACCATATCTTATTTCCTATATAATAAAAAGCATTTTCTTTCTGTGTTTTGGATGGTACTGGTACTAGGGCAGAGTTTCATACTCTGGCTGGCCTGGAAATTGCGAGCTAGACCAGGCTGATCCCAAGTTTACAGCAATCCTCCTGTTGCTGCATCCCAAATATTCAGAATATAGATACATATGATGGTCCATTCACAAATATATATATTCACATATATATATATATATATATATATATATATATATATATCAAGTATATGAAACATAATGGCTAAAAAGGTGCCAAACTTGAATTTCATATATTTTCACTACAATAAAACCAAAACACTAGTATATGAACTATATGAAGAATTTTTCTTAATAGGTTTCTACTTCCAACCCTTAACTTTAATCTACCTTTATTTAAATAAATTTTTAATCTTCCTTTATGTAAATAATATTGGTCCTTTCTAAGAATTCCCCTCTAAAGTGAGTAAAGAAAAAACCACCAGTGAAGACAATTTTCTTCCAATAGCCACATGTTAAAAAACATTTACATTTCTCTGCCACAAAAACTATTTGATTTAATGTTTCTTAGAACATTAAAGAATGCTGGGGGTGGGCTGGAGAAATTGCTCCATGGTTATGAACACTGGCTCCTCTTCCAGAGGACCCAAGTTCGATTCCCAGCACCCACATGGCAGCTCACAACTGTCTTTAACTCTACTTCCAGGAGATACCAATCCAATAAACTCTTCTGACCAATAGATTGGGATAGATTAAGTAGACAGATTGTGGATGGATGGATGGATGGATGGATGGATGGATGGATGGATGGATGGATGGATGGAGACAGACAGGTAGGCAGGCAGGCAGACAGACAGACAGATATTTTTAAAGAAAAAAAAATACATCTTGGGAACTTACTTTGGGAAAAGTCCATCTAAGAAAAGTTCTGAAAACATTTATGTACCTTGGGACTCTGGAACCATTAATGTCAAACATATGCCTTGACCTATCTAAGTCAAAGGTTAAACAGAAGCTAGGTGAAGCAACTCCAGCTGTGTGGGAGGTAAAGACAGACTAATCTCACCTGAGCAAGAAATATAAGGCTATGTGATCAACAAAGTGAGACTCCTTTAGGGCAAGTTCATGTCTTTAATCCAGCACTCAGGAACCAGAGGAAAGTGAATAATTTGTGAGTTTGAGGCCATTCTGGTCTATATAACAAACTCTAAGCCAGCCAAGGCTGCATAGTGAAACCCTGTCTTTAAAAAGCAACACCAAAATACAATAAAAGGGGAGAGACAGAAAGACAGAGAAACAGAAGGGGGGGGAGGGGAGATTCCCCACCTCAGAAAAGGTAAGGTTAACCAGAATTTACCACTACACAGATTTGTGTATTAAAGGTGTAAGTGCAAATGCACCCAAGTGCAGGTGCCCAGAGTCCTTGCATCTACTGAAGCTGGAGGTGCAAGCTTTCTTCCAATTTGGTGCTAGGGACCAAACTAGGGTCCTTAGGAAGAGACACAAGTGCTCTTAGCCACTGAACCCTCTCTCTCTAGCTCCTCAATACTTTAGAATTTTATTATCAAAATACTTGCAGGACTTTTATTCACACAACAAGTTTTAGTAACTTACAGTTATAAAATGACCACTGAAACACAAGCCTTGTCTAACACATACAGAAAAAAATATACTGCATAAAAAATTATTAATGTACTTATATAGTCATGTATCAAGAGAACTCTGATACTGAAGTTAAAAGTTACAAAGATTAATCTTAATGTAGATAAATCTTAATTTCAGGAACTACATGAACTAGACACATTAAAAAACTTAAGAACATTAGCAAATAAGAATTATACATATAAAAGAAATCATTTGTGAGCAAAACAAAAACAAAAACAAAACCAAAAAAAAAAAAACAAACCCTTTTTTCTATCTCCAAGAAAGCATCAACTAACTGAATCACCTAAGAATTTAATTCAAGCCGGAGAGATGACTCAGTGGTTAAGGGCACTGGTTGCTCTTCCAGAAGAATTTAATTCAAGCTAGGCATGATGGGACATGCTTTTAGTAGTACAAGAGCTTGGGAGACAGAGCTTGGTGGATTTCTGTGAGTTCAAGGTCAGCCTTGTCTACACACTGAGTTCCAGAATAGCCAAAGCCACATAATGAGACCCTGTCTTTTAAAAATATAAACAATCAAAACAAAGAATTTAGGTTAAATCTTACCACCATTAATTACATTCTAAAATCAGAAATAACCAGGCAAATAGTAAGATAACTATATCTGATCTTTTACTACTTTGTTCTTGTTCACTAAACTGGAACACTGGCCTTATTACCACTGTCTACTTATTACCACTGTCTACTTACTATCACTGTCTACTGAGTCAGTTTTAAGCCCGCTGTTCCTTCAGGGAATGCTCTTCTAGAAGAAGCACTTGCTCAACTTTGACCTCAGAGAGAGGCCTCTTTGACTACTCTCTGAAGCAGTTACACCCCAAGTATTCAGCATCAAACACACAACGTGGGCGCTCAATAAATACTTATTGAATGAATGTGCAAGCCTACATACAATTTCAATAAAACAAAAACAAGTCTGCTAATTTAAAAGTATATTATCAAAATACTTGGTAGAGCCCCAATTTTAAATTAAAGAAAAAAAAAGCAAAACTTCAACAGATTTTTATGGCAAATTCTAAGTATAAAGATTAAATCTGAACTCAGAAATCACAGCAAATTTATTATTTCATGTCATGTGAGGTCTGTAAATCTCTGATGATTCACAAAGCAAAAGTAACATTATTAGGCCTTAAGAACAAATATTTAAAGTATAAGGGGTATGAATCAGAATATACAAATTCAAAATAAAGTTAATAGCATATCTTACCTATATCACAAATATTATCACAACAATGAGAAGTGTTAAACAAAAAGAAGGTGGCCACACTATCTCTAGCCAGGCTATTTTAGCTATGGAATAGCTTTAAAAAAAAATTCAAGAGGGACTACAGTCTCAGCTACTAAGGAAGTTGAGAAAGGAAGATTCCTGGAAACCAGGAGTTCTAAGTACAAGCTTAAAAAAAAAAAAAAAAAAAAAAAAAAAAAAAACATAGCAAGAGTGAGAAACACAGCTTGGGGAGCAAGAGAGGAGACAGAGAGGAAGAGAGGGAATGGAAAGAATGGGAGAATGGAAGGGAGGGGAGGGAGGGAGGAAGGAAGGGAGGGGAGAGGGAAAAGGTTGGGAGAGAGAAGAAGAAAAGAGAAAGAAATGAGCTAGCTAAAAAACTTTGAACCAAAAACTACATGACTATATAAATATTTGATTCAATCACTTGTTTTAAAAACACCCCATCAACTACAACACTCTGTTTACTCTTTTAGTTCATCTGGAGACTGGTCCCATGTCATTGAGCAGTCTAAGCAAGGGCTCTACTACCACTGAGCTCACTGAGCTACACGTCCAGTCCCATTCTTATTTTTCCAAAACCAATTACATTTGAATGAACATAGATTTCTTTCAAAAGACAATTACATTTGGAAGAACACAGACTAGGGGAAAAAAGGTCCCATATGACCTTCGACTCAATGGCTTTAAATGCCCCAATGATACATCATCATCCTAGTTTCACATTAGTCAACACTTTTAAATTCAAAATCTGATTTTTTTTTTTTTTTTTAAAAAAAAGGGGGGCAGAACACTCATGAATCAAATACTACCAGCACTACAATGGTCATTTTAAAAAAACAATGTTTTGACTAGAAAACTCTAGAGAATAAAAGTTTACCATCTGCTACTCACATAAAACACCTGGAACAAATAAGCTCTGTAGTCATAACAACTTACCGTTACAGATTTCAGTGTCATGCCATGGTACGTGCCCATGGTATCGATCTTAAAGCCTTCCGTTTCTGCAAAGAAAAGGAGTCTATTATGATTTATTTATTTCATGTCAGGTAAAAATTTCAATCATGCAATTCAACAGTGTAACAAGATATATAGAATACTATATAATCTTATCACATAGTTCTAAAACTTAAAAACTGTTAAGACACTATTTACAAAGCACTGATTTCATAGAATTTGGTTAAGATTATCTTTCAAATTTTGTTTAAAAATTATACTAGAGAGCTAGAGAGAAGGTTCCGCAGTTAAGAACACTAGCTACTCTTGCAAAGGACCCAGGTTCAATTCCCAGCATACACAATCTGCCCATAGCTGCCTTTATCTTCCATTTCAGGGGATCATATACACTCTTGTGGCTCCATGAACACCAGGAACATATGTAGTACATAGAAATTCACATAGCCAAAACATCCACACACATAAAAAATGATAAAAATTTAAGACATATTAAATTAAAAACTTATAATCCCTTTATTTTTGCTAGTAACTACTATATGATTGTACCACTAAAAGCATGTAAAATAAAAAGTTCAAAAATTACAAAAACTTGTGTTCCAAAGTTTAATGTAAGGGATGTAATATGCATTTATTAGAAAATTGTGCTGTAAACAATGATAAGAGTTTCAGGACATAAGTGCAACACACTCTTCTCTCTCTTTGAAAAATAAACATTTAATTCTATTCATACATGGCAGTTTATTTCTCATTCCTGTTTTGGCTCTTGTTATGGTCAAGCAACTAATGTCAGTCAATTTGAGAATTTAACAATATTTTACCAGTGGAAAAACGATATAAACATCAGCTAGACTGTCAGCTGTAACAAAATAAGCTCTACACTTGCTCCAAGTCTATCTATGCTTCCCTATCCCTAATAGACACATTTATAGTTTGGGCAACAGTTTAACATACAGCATTCCCCAGCCCAAAATTCTTTATAACCATAACTAGCATCAGTAATAGCAGACATTTGTGGGTAGCTTATTACATTATCAGACAGTATTCTAGGAATTTCATCTTGAGCACATCCCCAAAGTAACCCTATGAAATAAGTTATTATTGGAACCTACTCCAATTAGTTAGCTGGGTTATCTGAGTAGGGGCATGAGTATTAATAAAAGGCAGATAAAAGAAACAGACAGAAACACAGGATAGATTCGGGAGGACTGCCCAGTCCACACCTTTCAGCACACCAGACAACCCCAAGTTTAATTTAGACCCTGCTTATACATGGACTAGAGGCAAAGCAGAACAAAGAGCAGCACAGACCTTAATGGAAGAGAGGCCAGGTTCACTCTCTACCTCATGAGTCCTGCTAGCAGCAAGCAGCTTTGTTCCCTATTTCTATGTGCCTTTTGGCTGGCATCAGAAGCTTGTTAGTTAAGATATTGTGCCATTTTCCATGGGCTTAATCAGAACTTTCTCACGGCTCTCAAGCAAGCTTGAACTCTGTCTTCTGTAAGTCAGAATAGACTCCAGATGGATACTGAGTCACTTGTTATCAGTTAAATTAGAGATACAAGGTAACAGATCAAATACAGTTGAAATAAAAATAAAATCCACACAAGAATTAACTGAAACACAAGCATCTGGATCCAGAAACAAAGCTACCAACAAGAGGTTAACCAATTTTGTTCTGTAATGTACAAATACTATTTTTTGGTGTTGTAGGCTATATGACCTCTCTCAAAAGTACTCAACAAGAGCTGTCAAGAGTTAAACAGCTATAGATCACACATAAATGAGTAAATATGTCTATTTAAACAACAAAAACTTTTATAATAAAGTGGCTGAACTATATCTGGACTACAGAGATTACTTGACAACCCTTATTCTTAAGTATCAAACTATACTGCCATTTAGGCTCAGCATGACTATGATGAGAAGAAGATATGAAATAAGCAACTTACCTTCTTTGCCTTTGAATCTTTCCTGGTCATATCTGTTGTAGGCAGCTGGAATAGGCTGCTTCGTACGCAATGTAGGATCCTTTAAAAAAAAAAAAAGTTGCAAGTCAATATTTTTAAATATTACTTATTTTATGCTTATAAAACCTGATATGGACACTTATAAAAACTAAGTGTTATTCCCAATATGGGCCAGAAGAAAAAGAGTAAGGTAAGAAGACTACTTGGCATTTGATAACAAGGCTTCACTACTGAATATTATTTGCTACTAAAAAAAATGGCCATTTCTATACCAAGAATAAAGACAATTTCAAGTATCAAAACTGCAAAATATGTTAAGAAAATACATTCTAAACACTTAAATGACTTTGTGAAATACTCTCTCCAATGATAATCTGAACAATGTGAGCCCCAAGAGAGCAAAAGCCACACAGAGAAACCCTGTCTCAAAAAACCAAAATGAAAAAAAAAAAAGACTAAAGTAATAAATATTCAACAAACATTTATAAATGTATACTTAAGATTCAAGATGTTAGTTTTTAAAAACTGAAAAAAGCCACTTTCTAATTATGTAATCTAACTCAAATATTTCATGCTAAACTTATAGTTTATAACCTAAAACTAGGTATTTAAAAAACATCTTAAAGGTACTTGAGAAAATCCTATTTTTTCAATTTTTATTACAATAAGATTACACTTTAATATTACAAAAGAAAAATTATCAAGACTATAGTTATATATACCTGTATGATCAAATGCCAAACATAAATATTGCAACTGTTTCAATGATTGTAAAATATACAGAAGGAATACTCACATTCACAAAGACAATGGCTTAAATGTCTTAAGGTTTCACATTCTTCCCACCAATTACTAAAGTGTCAACAAATTTGTGATTATAAGCACCCTATGCTTTTACATCATAGCATTTACTAAACTTCCATTTCATAGAGATAGTAGGTTTAATTTCCTACACTATGAACTGAAAACAGGACAGGGACTATGACATTGTATTATTTTATTGCTAGATGCTCAAAACACTGCATAACAAATAGATAATAGTTAAATAGTTTTGGTAAGTCAACTACAAGAATCTGTCTAAATATTACCAATAGCTCAGTATCTGCAAAAATTAAATATCAATGATTTCATGCATAAATAAAATTACTAATGACTTCCAAGGCTATGTTTAGTACTCTACCAATATTCTTCCAAACTCTACATGAAATTCAATTAATTTGAATTATATTTTTTGCCTTACTTGAATTTTGAGAACAGGTAAAGGGATTTACAGCAATCTAAGAGGGTATTTCTGGATTTAAAAGGAGACTATATGGCATGCATGAATTTAGGGTTTGGAGGACCTAAGTAAAACCTTAAACAGTGAGATACTCAATGATCAGAGGCGCTAAAGCTGAGATACAATAAATGGGCCATATAGCTGATGACAAGGGAAAATATACCAATATGAAATGGCCACCAAAGATTTCAAATAACAAGTCCAAACTGGAAGAGAACAATGATTTACACTTTTAATAATAATTAACAATTTTGTGAAGTAATAAGTAGGCAGCTACAGCTAACCTAAAAGTTAATTTAAAAGGCTTTTCCTAATTAACCCCTTTACAGACTTTTACCCGGGTATATCTCAAGAATGAACCAAAATTACTGCTGAGATAACTTTTAAACTGGGGAGGGTCTTTATATATAGCCTTTGAGTATGCTGTAGTAGCAACACTTTATACCCTACTGATGTAGAATGTTTAAGACGTCAAAATTAAAACAATAAAATACAAAATAAATGTCACTTTCTTAAAACAGCATAAGCAAAAAAGATTCTTACCACAGGGGCTGTATTTGGAGCAGGCCGCTGTTCTGGGGCACGCCCTTCTTCTCTGGCTTTTACAGATTGAAGAATTGCAAAAATATTCTTGGAAAAATTCTAAAACAAATAGATTCTAATTAAAACCGGTGTGTATGTGCAAAAGCAACAGTTTATCCATTAAGCAATTTATAGTGAAACTTTCTTCCTACTAATTTTTCCTATTTCATGAGGTACTATTCATTGCTATAGTTTGGATGAGGTCTGTTTCCCAAAAGTTCCTATGTGGGACAGGGGCTCCTAAACGTGGGGTAGAGAAGAGGACCCTTTAAAAGGTGGGGCCCTGTGAGGAACAATTAGCTATCAGGGCACTGTTATTGGAAGGGGTTCGTGCTGGTCTTGTGCTATACATACACATACATACCAACAGGTAGAGCTGTCCAATCTTAGACTTTCAGTCTCCAAAACTTGAACTAAATAAATATGCTCCCTCCTCACCCTGAATGGCCCTCCCTCACACAGTCATGCAAGGGCTCTACACTAACCTATATCCCAAGCCCTAACCTATGCAGTTCCTACCTTGGGTATTTCATTGAGTTAATAGAAAACAAGGTAATACATTTACACATAGAAATAAAAGCCAACTAACTACCTTGAGTCTGGTTATTACAGATCATACTTAAATAGACCAATTATATACAATTTTTATTATTCTTCATCTACTTATACATAAAACCAAGAAAAAAATAAGCATTTAAATGTAATAAATTTCTATCAAATGAAACTACTAAACCTTAAAGTGCAATAAGCCCCTGTGCTAAATTCAGATTGCCACAGACTTCCTAAGATACCCAAAGGTTACAGATACTTGTAGGAGTCACTGTACATTTTTTTTAGTCTAAAAAGGTGGAAGTATCATAAATCAGCTTTCCCATGAATATCTAACCCTACTGACTAGGTGACTAGTCCTTCCTTCAAGAAATAGGCATCCTTGGCCCTGATACATTATTCTCCCCTCACTTTTTTGCCTAATGACTAACAGTGTCCCCCAGTGAGTAACAATATTTTGGGTCTCTCTCCCCAACTACTAATCAATCATTCAATGGTTTAAAGAATATATGCACATTTACTGTGACTAAATACCTTAACTGATACTAAAATCCAATGATGATCAACAATCACATGGTTCCTGTTCTCATCTACTTCAAATGTAATTAATACAAGTCTCTTCTCTAGAAATTGAAGCATTCTGGGCCCAACAAGGTAACTCAACAAACAGGTAAAACATCTATAACACAAGCTATCTCCCTGAGTTCAATCCTTGGAATCCATGTAAAGGTAGAAGTGAACCAACTCCACAATGTTACCCTTTAGCCTCCCCATTTGCAAACACACACACACACACTCTCTCTCTCCTTTCTCTCCTCTCTCTCTCTCTCTCTCTCTCTCTCTCTTAAAAAAGAAATTGAGGGGCTGAACGATGTCTCAGTTAAGAGTACTTGTTGCTCTCCCAGGTGACCTGGGTTCAATTCCCAGGACACACAGGCGATTTACAACCATCCATAACTCTAGTTGCATGAAATGTGACATCCTGTTCTGGTCACCATGGACTCCAGGCATGTATGCAGTGACTAACACACATGAAAGCAAAACACTCATACACATAAAAGTAAGTCTTTTAAAGAAAAAAAAGAAATGTAAGTATTCTGCTTCTTTGGGTTTGACTACTCACCCCACTTTATCATTCCATCTACTTTACTAGTTTTTACTTTGTAATCTCTCTCATCTTTCTTTCTATTTTGTTGCCTGGTGAGACTAGCATCAACTTCATGTCCTCTAAACACTGTACTACTATAAAATAGCTTTTTCCTCTTTACTTTTGAGTAACTTACATGCCTTTTATTGCATCGCACTGCTGCTTTTACTATACTATCACCTCAGTGGGGCTAAGGACTAAAGCATCTTCAATTGCTGCCTAGCTTGCACATGTTAAACATTATGCAAACATATTCAAAAATAATGTTTAACATTAACTGTATGCCACTAGTGATGGGAAATGTCATTCTGTAAATATGTTTCTCTTACTGGTTAATAAATAAAGCACTGTTGGTATAATTACCACTATACTATGATACTAATTCTGATTCTTTACAGAAACAAATACAAGTCTCAGAACTACTTTGCCATCTTAGAAACTACTGAGGACTCTGAAGGCCTTTAAGCTAAAGCTACAATTTATGAAACTAAAGGTAAAAACTGACAAACTTTTCAAGTAGGAATTCCTTAAATAAACAAGCAAACAAATAAATAAATAAATAAATGATTCCATGCAAACATTGTATATTTTACAAAAATTATTTTCCAAATATCTATCAAAAAAGTAGTAAGACTAAAACTTGAAATTTTATAAACGTGCTATCTGGCTTACTAAAAATGATACTGCATTCTAATATTTACTTTTACATTATCTTGTTTTGTCAAAGATATGAAGAAATCTAACCTCAACAATAAAAGCAGAAGCATTAAGATACCTTTTCAAAATTAAAAAAAAAAAAATAGCTTTTAATGTAGCTGAATATATTCTTCTTTGTTATACCAAAACAAATGTTTTCCTAAAAGATACTGCAGGTGGGAACCATATCCATAAATACTCTGCATTACTACTTTATAGTATAGAAAGTGTAAATATACTTTTTAAAGTATAATCTATTTTGTACTTTAAATTGACTTTTTTTCATTCATGCACTGGTTGTCTGGAAAATATCACTGAGTTATGCAGTTATGCATATTTCCCAAACATCAATACTTCTTATTATTCAACATTGTAAAATATGTATTTGCTGGTAACTTACACTCATTAAATCATATTTACAAAAGTTTCATCAAAACAGTCTAAGAATTAGAAATATGAAAAAACTCAAAGCAGAAACTCTCCAAAATTTTAATTTTCTCGGCAAAGTTCATATCAGTGGCAACTGTTTGTTGCTTTTCCTGACACACTCTTTCAAGAGACTGTCTATGAAAATACCTAAGTCTGAACAACATAGTCATTCAAATAAAATGTGATGGTTTTTTTTTTTAAGGTGCTTCAGTTAGTAAGCCAAACCATAACACAAAAAATGCTGTTCCTAACAGCAACCAAAGCTTTTCTAATATGCAGGGCTATTTTACACACTCAAATTTCATTAAAGGGTCACACTTTAATTAAGGTTAAAACTGGTAAGTGAAGAACACCAAGATTTGCTAGCAATGTTGGGTGACTTGTGCCAAACACCAGCAGTTTCAGCAACCACTGCAGACATCAGCCAGTTGCAAACAAGATCTCAGTCCTACTGTGGAAACATGAAAATCAGATCACTTCTAAAGTGATCAACTCAATGAAAGACAGAAATTAAAGAAGAATCAATCCAAACAACATCAGCAAGTTTTGTACGCAAGAATTATAGGTGATTATCTTTGTACAGATGTATATATACCAACGGTTCAAAAATAGACCACTTTAGTATGAAAATATACCCCAAAATCTCTGTGTTGGAAACTTTATTTTCAACAGTAGTATTAAAAGGTGGGATTTTTTAAAGTGACTTTTAAAATGGATTGAGTGGAGACTAAATGAATGGCTAAGTGGTTTTAAAAGTCATTTTCTGACAAGCTAATAATAATTTTCAGCCCTCTTTTTTATTCCCTCTCTCTCACCCAGGTGATACCTTCTGCCATTTTTGATGCAGTAAGAAAGCCCTCATCAGATGCAGTTCCTTGATCTTGGACTTTCCAGCCTCTAGAATGGTGAACCACAGAAATGTCTATTCATTATAAATTACTCAGTCTGTGATACTCTGTTACAGCAGCACAAAACAGACTAAGTCATAATAATTTAATGGAACAGAAATTTGTTTGTTACAAGTTAGTCTGTGATAGTCTGTTATAGCAGCACAAAACAGAGTAAGACATTCAATACAATTAATGATACTATAAAATCAGGTTGCTTAACTAGGGCATATAAACTATATAAGGAAGATGAGAACTTGAATTTTCCTGACACTTAAAAATCAGAAAATTAAGATTCTGATCACAGGTCAGTCTGACGTCTAGAGTAGGCAGTGTTGTCATGCCTGACAACCGGAGCTCAATCCCCGGAGCCCACAGTGAAAGGAACGCACTGACTCTCGCACCATGTCTTCTGACCTGACCTCCACATGCACACTGTGAGAAATGTGCCCGCGTGCACACACATGCAAAGCAAAAGTAAAATCTATACTGATCTAAGTGTCTTTAATTTAGCAGATGTAAAATATATAGATAGATAGAATGAGAGAAAGAGGGGGGTGTCAGCAGTCAAAATGTTTAATTTTGACCTTTAATAACAACATTCAAAAATAAAAATTTTAAAAGATAACATTCATAAGAGCAAACCTAGCTTCTAAACAGTTGTTAAATGATTTCTTTAAAAAAAAATAAAAAAAATACAGTGGTACCAACATTAAATTAGGACATTTTTAAACTGGTACAATTCTGCCACCTACAGTTGACAGAAAAGAGTTCATCTCAACGATTTAAAATATTAGTGTTTCAGACAGAAAAAAATTTTAAGCTAAAGACTGTCAAGTTAAAATGAACTAAAAACCAAGCAAACAAACAACAAACAGGCGTAGTGGCATGTGTCTTTAACCCTAACCCTCAGGAAGCAAAGGCAGGTAGATTCCTGTGCATTCAAAGATGGCCTCCTCTACGTGGTGAGTGCAAGGACAGCCAGGGCTACACAGTGAAACCTTGTCTCAAAACGAAAGAAGTAAGTAAGTAAATAAATAAATAAATAAATAAATAAATAAATAATAAAGGAACTAAAAACTCAGGGCTAGTCAAGCACTGGCCACATCAAGCAATGAAAATGGGAATGCTACCATTTAACTGTAAATAACAAAAGAAAAAAAAGTTTATTCATAACCTCACATTTCTTTATAATTCTAAGCTCTGGAAATGGTCCTTTTTGTTTTTTAAATACATGGGTCCACACCACAGTGCAAGTACAGAAGTAAGAGAAAAACACTGTGGAGTCAGTTTTCTCCATTCATCTTTCCAAATTTCTAGGGATCAAAGGCAGGTTTCCAGGCTTGCATGGGGAGCACCGTTACTCCAGAGCTATCCCCCTGGCTCTGGAAAAATGGTTCCTTTTTTTCTAAATTAAATTAACTTTACTTATTATTATTTTGTGTGCATATACACACGCATGATAAGAATGTGGGGACATGCATGCAACATCATGTGTGGAGGCCAGAAGACAATTCTGTGGAATTGTTTTTTTCCTTTCATCTTTACATGGCTTCTGGACAGTGAACTCGGGTTTCCAGGCTTGCATATCAAGAACCTTTACCAGCTGAGCCATCTGTGTGGCCCATGGAAAATGCACCTTTAAATGTAAGACAAGTCAAAGTACAAAATAAATAGCAATCAGTATTTTCCTAACACCTGTTTTCCCAGTTATTTAATTCTTACCAAAATGGAACAGTAAATTAAAAAGTTATAGTCCCAATGTTATTCTACAATCCAAACCAGTCAGGGACAGGAGACACATACCTGTATTCCCAGCACTTAGTAGGCAAATGCAGGCTTAAACCACTAAGGAAGACCCTACCTCATAGAAGCCCAGAGGTCTCTAAATATAAAGTTTATTTCAATGTTTAAGCTGTTTCACAATAATCTCACTTCTTCAAATGTTTCTACCAAACCACCGTTAGTGAATCAATGGAGAATCAATGACTAAGAAAACTTATTGGAAAGCCCACAACACAAAGGAAGATATGTACGCAAACAGAACTGATGCATCTTTTCTAAGAGATCAACTGACATACTAGAAGATCTAGTATCAAAATTTTTAATATTTTTACTAATGTGTATCTGTGTGTGTGTGCCTGTGCATACACATAAGCATGTGCATGGAGATTAGAGGGACAGTGGAGTCCATTCTCTCCTTCCACCTTTACATGGGTTTGGATGATTCTCAGACTGTCAAGACTCTCACTCAAATTCTTATCTTTAAAAATTTAGAGAGCATACATTTGCTCTAAATAGAAGTTTAAAAGAATCAGTCCTTGGCTGTACAGACATAAGCTTGAACCCTATTAATAAATTTTGAACAGTTTTAAGAATGAGTAAAATATTTTAATTACCTTTCCTGTGCTTTGTAAGATAGTTGTTCTTGTTCTCCACACTCTCTCCCTGCTGACAATATCTCTGGTCACATCTACCTCAGCATCCACAAAACTCCTCTGTTTAAGGGCAGTTATATCATCATCTAGATCAGTCTTGATAGTAGATCTTTTCTTAGCCATAATTTTGGCTTTGATTGCAGCAATTTTTTCCACTGACATGGCTTCAGACAAAGACCTAAAAGTAATTTATTTTTTTAAATTTCACAGCAAAGATTCCTTCAGTACAACATATATGTTGCACTTAAACTGATGATTTATTTAAAAAAAAATACCCACTGCAAGTGACAATAAGTTTTTCTCTAAAATTGCATACTTAATGTCTTATAGTCACACAACTCATAAAGATAATAATAGTCTAAAAGCAAGTTAGTAAATTATTTTAGTTTTATGAGTATGAGTGTTTTGTCTACATATAGGTCTATATGTCATTTGTATGCCTAGTACCCAAGAAAGCTAAAAGAGGTCTTCAAATTCCCTGAAAGTGAAGCTACTGGCAATTGTAGGCCACCATGTGGGTGCTGAGAATCAAATCAGGGTCCTCTGAAAAAATGGCCAGTGCTCTTAAACACTGAGCCATCCAGCCTTGAATTAGTGGTTTCTTTAAATTAAAATTAAAAATTAAATAATAATGAAATTCCTTTTTAAATCTCCCACAGAACTAATACAGTGCTTTTGCATATATTCTCTGAGGCTTTACCAGTGATCTATATTTACACCTCTCTACATATGAAAATTAAACACAAGCACAAAGGTCATTTTGTAATGGGGAGAAAAATTCATCGTGTTAAAAAAGCTCAAAGCTTGGGTTTTTTTCCATGAAATGTATTTCAAGGTGTTAAAGCTACAGGCTACATATACAGATAACTTCAGAATCCAGAGACTCTATGCCACAATAGTCCCTTTAATATCTGGAAGACAAAACCATACCTAATTAAAACTTCATTATAAAAAACTAGGAAGCCGGGCGGTGGTGGAATACACCTTTAATCCCACTTGGGAGGCAGAAGCAAGTAGATCTCTAAAGCTACACCCTGTCTCAAAAAACAAAAGCAAAATAGAAAAAAAAAAAAAAGAACAAGCAAATAAAAAATTATACAGAAATAAACTTATTTTGAAATACTTTTATGTCTTCAATTTACTTGATTCTCAAATAAGCAAAAACCAGTCTTTTATGATATAAATAAAAACTGTAGTATACAATGAAAAAAAGAAAAGTAAATTTCTCTGTGCTTTCAATTTTCTGGCATGTTTCCTTTTGAGATTCAGGGAAAATAAATCAATAGTCCAGAGTCTAGCAAAGTGGCTCAGAGGTTATGAGCACTAGCTGCTTTTGCAGAGGACCAGGGCTCAGTTCCCAGGACCCACATGGTAGCTCACAATCATCCATAACTCCAGTTCCAGGGAATCATGATGCCTTCTTCTGAACTCTGTGAGCACCAGACACATAGCATACCGACATAGAAAGAATAGTCAACATATAAAAAATAAAATAAACTAATTTAAAAGAAAAAATATACCATGAATTCTCAGTTTTCAAAACTATGTTCTATTAAATATTTCATAACAATCTTCCCAACAACTCTAATATAAACAGCAAAATTTCTTGTCTAAATAATAAAATACATTCAGTTTAGTAGTACTTACAAAGTACAAAAAAAAAGAGGAAGATTCAATAAAAAATATAATTTAAAATTTTGATCTCCTAGAAGAGAACATCCCCTTATGGAACCACATGTGGAAACTACCCATTAAAGGACTGCACGAAAATGTATTGTACGTTTTTTATAACATGAGAGAAATAATTCAACAGTGGTTGAGGACAGTGGTATACTCTTTACCTAGCATGCATGAAGCCATATACTTAACAGAGACCCAAAAAAAAAAACAAAAACAAAAACAAAAAACAGAACCTAGGCCAGCAATCCAGTGGCTCATGGAACTCCTCCACCACAGGCAAGCATCAAGGTCTTGCAGCAACAGCTAAAGATATAATAGAAGAATCACTAACAAAGGATGACAAGATGAGAAACTAGGAAAGAATTAAAGTAGTCTGCCATCTAAGACTATCAATATGATGTCCCAAAGAGGACAACACAAAACATTAAAGAAAAATGACATTCCAACTTACTAATTATGTACTGGCTCATCAATCTGGAGAGAATGTGGCTCTAGTATCACTGTAATGGGCACAAACATTAGCAAAAAAGTTCTAAACAAGGTCTCTCCTGCACCCTGCTGTCCTGCTCAAATCTTAATTAGTATAACGTGAAACCCATAGGCAGAGATAAAATATTGTGATTTAAAAAAACTGATAATGTGCTTGTTTGGGGAACTTTCTGCAGTCCACCTATAAAAGTCAGGTTAGATGAGCAAACATGAGGAGAAATCTTCCATTAGAGATGGATGTTTGGTCAACATACTCAAGAGAAAAGAGTGAGTTTGAGCTTCATTTTGGATCTTTGGAGGATGGTGGAGGAGATGCAACTCAAGTTCTAACTCATCTAAAGCACATGTTGTAAAACACATTAAATGAACCAAGCAAGACCAAGACCAAGTAGATATAACAGAGCATGAGATATAAGAGTTTAGAAATATTCCCACAATAAAGTATTAAAAAAAAGACAGGTTAGTACGATTCACAGAAGTCCTGTCTTTTCAGTTGATTTGTAACTTAACAGGGTACCATAAATGAATTTTTGAAGCTAATGTATTTTCTACCTTTTTCTTCTACTTTGCACTGATTTCTAGCTGTGAATTAAAACATATCAGCATGTTTTTAGATAAATTCAAATTGCTTTTTGTTTTATTACATTTGTTTTTGTGTATGCATACACAGACATGCAGCACAATGTGTGAAAATCAAAAGACAGGTTACAGGACTAGGTTCTCTTCTTACCATGTGGGTATGGGTATCACACTCAGGTCACTGACTGAGCTTGGCAGCATGGTCTTTACCAGTGAGCAATCTGGATGGCTCAAGCTGACACAGGACTTTCAATGATCAGACTTCTACTTCTAGCCAAGATAAGTGCCAGTGATTGGAAAAGCTCAACAACCAGAAAATAACTAGCTAAACTTCAAAACACTGAATGGCAGTGATTCCCTCACAAATGATAAATGAAGGAGGTAATTCCTACAACTTCTCTGCCTACTGCCTTGAAAATTTCCAAAATAGGTCCTAAGAACCACCCAGGGAGAGCTTAGTTAAGACCAAAGTGTTTACATGACACAGAATATTTCAGAAAAGAGCTGAACAGAGGTATTGCAGTAGAATGCTAACACATGAGCTTAACAAAGGAATTCTCTAAACCTAGAAACAATTACCACCCAACAAGTTTAGGTTGGCAATACAAGGCTGGTGTTCCCACCAGCCAAAATGAAAACTATCCACAAGACATTAGAAAGTCTACCTAAAACATGACTGCCTCTAAAGTAAGTGAGAATAATTACTGTAATCAATCTCTGTTCAGTGTAAAGTACCTAGAAAAAAAGAAAGTTGTGCCTATGGTGAAAATTCTACAAGGTTGGCTGGCTGGCTAATTAGAAAATCCTGAAGAGTTGGAATGTCACAAGTCCATAGGCAAATTGTAGATTAAGAAAGAAGTGACCCTAGAGGTTCAAAGACAAACAGGAAACAGCTGTGTGGGCTGGTGAGTTCCTCACCAGATGCTACAAACACAAAAGCCCACAAGCAACTGAATTAAGTGACCATCAACTAGACTCTCTGATACCATGAGACAAAATAGATCTTCCTCTTTTACATTTCTCAGGTAGTTATCACCAACAGTGTAACAGAGAAAACTGGTAGACGGGGAAGGTTACTGCTGTGATCACCTGACTATTCTATTCAGAAGCTTTAGGAACTGGTTTATGGAAAGAATTAGTAAATTTGGAGAGAAGACCAGATAAGTCCTAGAATTCTATATAGGCAGAGCTTACTTCTTGTGGGAACTCAGGAAACCAGAATGCTCAAAGACGGAGGTTGGCTAACTACGAGGTTTAATAAGAACAAAGACTCTATTAGGGCTTTCATAGAAACCATATGTTCCATACTGTTGCAAAGAATTTGTCACATTTTGCCCATGCTCCCAGACTTTGAGTGGGGCTAAATTTAAAAGGAATAAACAATAAGACAGAGGAAATGTCAAGGAATCTCAGCATAGATACTGCTAGGTGGTCAGACTTACTGTAATAAATGTAAACAAAAAACCAGGGAAGGACTGGAAAATGCAGTATGCCAGAAAATAAACTCATAAAGGGTAAGGCATAGCTGGTGAAGAGATTGGGGCCATTTTATTTAAAAGCCTAGTACTTTGCATCAGAACAGGATAGATACTTTTGAGATAGCACAGGAATTAGCCAGACCACACACACTGTAGGCTTAAGGAAATGGATGATTTTACTTAACTTGGTTGAAAGACTACTTTGAGATCACCATGTCCCTCTAACCTGGGACCTCATATGAAAATCCCCAGCTTCAGTTATTTAGGAGTTCAAAGAATACAACAGCCATGACTCTAAGCACACCAGCCACCTACAGCAGATATCATGCTAGTTTTGCAGGCATTCAGAATGCAAAAGTTACAAGGCCATGGAGGTTTCCACCAAGATTTCAAAGGAAGACCTGAGAGGCCAGACAAATAGTTAGCCATACCTGAGACAATGCATGAGGTTGTGTGAGTGAACCTAGGGACACAATACAGGCATGGAACATCTGCCTCAGTAACTTGGAGGCAAAGAATAGATAGAGCCAGCCTAAGAGAAGTCATGTGAACTCTAACAAATCAGGCCATAGGGATGGGGCTACCCAAGCCTACTGAAGCATAAACGTATTATCACAGTATATGCCACTGATGGTGGACATGAATATACAGGATTTAACATTACCCTTTAGATTGCAGACTTGCTTTGGCTTGGTCCCATTCCTCTCTATGCTGCAGCTCTCCATTTTGCAGTAAGGACATTTATTCCTCAGTGTTGCATACTAAAAGTATGGAACTTGTCACTAAAAAGTTTATTTATTTATTTGTTTGTTTACTCATTTATTTATTTTGTATATATGAGTTCTCTATCTGCATGTACAACTTTGCCAGAAGAGGGCATCACATTCCACTATAGATAGATGGTTGTGAGTCACCATGTTGTTACTAGGAATTGAACTCAGGACCTCTGAACAGGACCTCAGTGTTCTTTAACCACTGAGCCATCTCTCCAAACCCAAAGGAATGGTTTTTTGTTTTTGTTTGTTTTTCAAGACAGGGTTTCTCTTGTAGTCCTAGTTATCTGGGAACTCACTCTATAGACCCAGCTGGCCTTGAACTCAAAGAGAAATACCTGTTTCTGCCTCCAGAGTGCCAGGGTTAAAGGCCTGAGTCACCACTTCTGGCATTACTAAATTTATAGAGACTCAGGACTAAGAGACTGCCACTTTAGGAGACTTTAAGCTGAACTCTCTGAATAATGCTGGAACTTCTGAGATTCCAGGGACTATCAAAAATGGACTAAATGTATTTTGCATTATAAGACAAAGATGATTCTTTGGGAGCCACAGATATATTAGTGTTTTAACAGGTAATGTGTTAAAGGCCTGGTCCCCAACTGATGGTGCTATTTTCTGGGAGTTTCTAAAAATGTGAAGAGGTTGGACTTAGCAAAGAAGTGAGTGATTCACTGGGGTGAAATCCTTGGGACCATCATTTCCCTGGCCCTTCTAGTATCCATACACATACCCCACCCTCTGCCTCCCAACCCCCACTTTTCTCCTATGTTCCAATGCTTTCTATTACATACTCCATTCTATACAATGATGCAGTACCTTTCCACATGTGGGTCCAGGATTAGAACCATAGAACTCAAAACTGAAAGTGAGTTAGAAGAAATATTATCGTCTACAACGATATCATGCTACAGGTGCAAAGACTAACACAATAAGTAATCTGGAGTGGGTTCTTATATAATAGGTTATAAACAAATATCATGCCATTTTACTCAAGGGACTTGAGAACCTCTGGGTATTAATATCTGTGGAGAGATCCTAGACTAATCCCAACAGATTCCAAGGGACAACTGCATTCTTCTAAACTTAGGCAACAGGGACATACAATAAATAAAAATGCAAATGTAAATTTTAACATCTAAACACTCCATTTTCAACATACCTTTACATAAAATCCATACTATCTACTTAAGAAACCCTTACCTAATCTGTTCTGTCTGAACAATCCCTTCTTTATGGCCTTCCAATCGAGCTGCCAATCTCTCCTTATCAAGACGCACACACTCTTCATCCTAAAAAAAAAAAAAAAAATCACGTTAGTAAACACTTAAAACTTTTACATGGAAAAAAAAAAATCACTACACATTAACTCCTTACCAGATTACAACAGTACAGTTCCATGTAATATTGTACTTCAATCAATTTTAAGACAATTTACTTTTAAGACTTTTACTTTCAAAAAGACAATAGTATATTTTTGATCGTGTAAGTATGCAACTGATTTCTATGGGTCCTTGACTTAAAATAGTACGTTCTAATAAACCACATGTACTGGCTAGTTTTATGTCAACTTGACAAAGCCTTGAGTCGTCTTAGAGGAGGGAACCCCAATTCAGAAAATACTCCCATAAAATTCGGCTGTAGACAAGCCTGTATTTTCTTAATTAGTGACTGATGTGGGAAGGCCCAGCCCATTGTGAATGGGGCCATTCCTGGACTGGTAGTCCTGGGTTCCTATAAGTAAATAGGCTGAACTTTGGAATCAGTAAGGCAGTTTCTTAGAAAGTTGGGTACCAATCTACCTCAAGACCCAGCTATACCAATCCTGGGTATATACCCAAAGGATGCTCAATCATACCACAAGGACACTTGCTCAACTATGTTTACAGTAGTGTTACTCATAATTGCCAGACCCTGAAAACAACCTACATGCCCCTCAAACTAAGAACAAAAAAAGAAAATGTGGTACATTTACCCAATGAAGTATTACTCAGCGGTTAAAACACACACACACACACACACACACACACACACACACACACACACACACACACACACACAATGACATCATGAAATTTGCAAGCAAATGTATGGAACTAGAAAAAACAATCATCCTGAGTAAGGTAACCCAGACCCAGAAAGACAAACATGGTATGTACTCACACATAAGTGAATATCAGATGTAAAGCAAAGTATAAACAGGCTACAATCCACAGCCCCAGAGAAGCTAGGTAACAAGGAGGACTGTAAGAGGGATGCATGGATTGTTCTGAGAAGGGGAAATAGATGAGAGATCTACTGGGTAAACTGGGGTAGGAGAGGGGAATGGGAACATAAGGAATCAGGTTGATTGAGTTAGGGGTGGGGCAAGGGGAAGACTAATAAAAGAGATAACTTGATAGAGGGGGCCATTTTGGAGAAGGGAAATTCCCAGGAATCCATAAGGATCCCTAAGACTCACAGACAGCAATAGTGGAGAGGGTGCCTCAACTGGCCTCCTGTAATCAGATCCATGCCTACCCTAACTGTCAACACACAGTCTTCATCCAGGAATACATGATCACAATAGGCTGGGCCCTCCCACATCAATCACTAATTAAGAAAATGCCCTCAGGCTTGTATACAGCCCAATTTTATGGAAACATTTTCTCAACTGGGAATCCCTTCTGTCAGATAGAAGCAGATGTAGAGATCCACAGTCAAACACTGGGCCGAGCTCTGGGAGTCCAGTTGAAGAGAGGGAGAGATTGTACAAGCAAGTGGGATCAAGACCATGGAGGGGAACCCACAGAGAAAGCTGACCTGGGCTAATAGAAGCTCAAGGACTATAGACCAACAGCTAGGGAGCCTGTATGAGACCAAGGCAGGATTCCTCCATGTGGAAGACAGTTGTATAGCTTGGTCTGTTTGTGGGCCCCCCTAGCAGTGGGATCAGGACCTGTCCCCAGCATATGAGCTGGCTTTTTGGAAACTATTCCCCATGCAGGGATGCCTCACCCAGACTTGATGCAGGGGGAGGAGCTCAACTGATATAACATTCTTTGTTGACTTCCATGGGAGGCCTGCCCTTTCTGAAAGGAGGAGTGGATGGGAATAGATAGGAAGAGAGGAAGGAGGGGAAACTGTGATTGGCATGTAAAATAAATGAAAAAAAAAATAATTTTAAAAAATACCAGAAATAAAAAAGGAAGGAAGAGGAGAGAGGCAGGGAGAGGAGGGGAGGGGAGAGAGGAAAGGAGAAGACTGGAGGAAAGGAGACCCAGGCTGAGCAAGTCAGTAAACAATAACCCTCCAGGGCCTCTGTATCACCTCCTGCCTCCACATTACTGCCCTGTTTGAGTTCCTATCCTAATTTCCCTCAGTGATGGACTATGGATGTGGAAGCGAAAGCCGAATAACCCTGTTCCTCTCCAACTGCTTTTGATTACAGTGTTTCATCACAGCAATAGTAACCCAAATTAAGATACCATGATTAATTTACAACATAATAAGCCAAAAACGCGTTTTATGCATCTACCTACTAAATACCATAGTTTAGGGTTGTTTACTTGAACATATCCACTATCCTCCATTTTTTATAAATGCTGCATTGTAAGTGTTAGGCATCTCACATTTTATTGAAAATTGTAAAATAAATTCTTATAAACATATATGTATTGCTTTTGTTTCATCAAAAAGCTTAAAAAAAAAAAAAAAAAAAAAAAACCACTGGGGACTGGAAAAATGGCTCGCAGTTACGAGCACTGGCTGCTCTTCCAAAGGACCTGGTTTCAATTCCCAGCACCCACATGGCAGGTCACAATTATCTATACTATTCTAAGGGATCTGATACTTGATACCTTTACACAGGTAAAACACCAATAAAATACAAATAAATAATTTAAAAACAAAAACACTGAAAACCGTAAGAGTTTACTATATGGTGTCCAGACATCTATGTTCTCTCCCAACCATTACTATTTTCATATTATATATGAATTACTTTCATTTTATATATATATATGTATATATATATACACACACACACACACACATATATATATATATACACACACACACACACACTCATATATTCATTTTTAAATGTTTATGGATTATTTATGTGTACTGAGTACTTTGTCTGCATGTCTACATGTATGTATGCACACAACATCTTGCTTGGCACCTGCACAAAATATGGATTATGCATGACTGGGCATCAGTAGAGGATGCTGGGAACAGTCTTCTGAACTTGATCTTAACTGCTGAGCCATTTTTCCAGTCCCTATAGATCCATTCTTAATTGGGGGGGGGGGGATCTACTTTTTAAAGGAAGTCTTCTTCAAAGTTAAATTTTTAATTTTGGATACTGATTTTTTTTTTCCAAATCTGGTGCCACAGGTTCCAAAATCTACCAAATAAAAGTCAAAACACTACAAGAAAAACTTGAATAGCTTTTAAATGGCAAGTTCCTCAGCACATTAAAATATTACTACAAAGTTCCCAATAGACTATTTCAAAATCTTATCTGGCAAGGGTGTGTGTCTCGTTCCTATAATCCCAGTAGTCAGAAGGCTAAGGCAGAAGCATCAACAGTTTAAAGTCAATACTGGCTACAACAATGATGTCATCCTGGGCAATGTGATTTCTAACATATTAGAAAGCCATGTGAAATTTAGTTTTAAAGATATGTGGCTGGTTAAGAAAAATCCAATAAAATGACACCTATCTGGGTCAAAATTTATATTCAACAAATAAAAAAACAAGGAGTAGTTCAATGAATGAGACTGTATAAAACTATACACAAGATATTAGCAAACTTAAGACATGGAAAGAGAAAAAAATATTGGGCTCCAATTCATGCCTTATTAGTTTTCTACTGTGTAAAAATGTTAAACCAGACACATCAGCAAAGATATTTTAGCAAATGCATTTAATTTTTACCATTTGTAAGTAGGTAATAATCATGGTGGTCAAGATCCTCAAAAAAAAACTGTCATTTTAAAAATACAATCTAAATTTTAATCAAATTAGAATCCTGACTGAAGTTTTCTTTTTCCTCCCATTGTGTCTTAAAAGAATTCAATTTCTTGAACTAACTTCTAATAAAATGTTTACATTGTAATTTTATATATGACAGACAAAAAAGGTAATGCTACTTTTTACTGAAAATTTCAAGTTACTGGCATTTAACTTTCTTAAGTGTTGATTTTTTTTCTTCAAATAATTACATTGTGATATTTTCATATTTCCAAGTAAATGATGACCCTAAATGCACTAGCTGTTTTAGTAGTATCCAGAGTCTTCCTTCATACAGGAGAAAATGGGAAAGCTTCCCATTTTACTGCCACAAAATTCACACACATTACAGCAGCCTGGTGGTTCTAATTTTGGTTCTACAAACCTCGGTAAATTACTTTTCTGTGGAGTCTATTTAACCCACTGATGTTGAGTCTAGGGCTACAAATCCAAAGGGTGGTAGAAAGAATGCATGACTTACTAGACAAGGTATTTAAAGTATCATCTTGTATAGACCAGTAACAATGAATTAGTTATCATTACTTAAAAAATACCATGTTCCTGTGTCAAAATACACTTAACTAAAATTACACTGTTTTAAATTCACATTATTACTGACTCTACTGTATGTACTTGCCAACCAGTGTTACCCTAGTTACCTTCCTCATCCTTACTTATAGAAGCCTGGCCATTTACATAGCAGAAAAAAAATATACACAAGTCTAAAATTAAAGAGAATGTATGTATAGTCCAAAATAAAAAGATACATGGTTTCTACTATTGTTAACTCTTGTGAAGAAGACAAGTGCTATTTCTTTAAAGTAAAGGGATACATGATCATTTAAATATTTCCTGGATCTTAAGTTTCTGGTAAATTATTCTCTATGACCCAGAAGTTTTCTAGGCATACAAATAATACTCAGCTTGTTATAAATTTCCATTAAGTCATTAATATGTATTTCTATATATTATTAAAATTTCTAAGGATATCTTACTCAGAATACTAACTGTTCTACTAATGGTAATAGCAATTTTTTTTTAACTGTCCTAAAGTATACATTATGAATACTATCTTCTGAAATATACATAAACTATGGCATGGCTCCATCTAGTTAGTTAGCACTGTTATTATTTTACACTGCCACTTTTTGATGCTGAGAACCTCTTCCTTAGCTATTTTAAAAACACAATGTAGTTTATTAATTAGTTACCACCATTATACAATAGACTCAGGTATTAAGGAGATGGTCTTCTGAGAGGTAGCTGGACTCTAAGGGTTTTTACCTTACATCTCTCCACGGGCCCTTAGGAATGGGGCCTGACTGAAAGGTACAAGGCATGTGCTATGAAATGTTAATCTTGTTCCACGCCTTCCTTCTCATGGAATATGCCTCCTTGCAAAGGTCCAAAGACAGTGTGGCCAGGCAACTGTAGGCTGAAATCATGAGCCAGAGCAAACCTTTCTTTATACTGTTTTCCTCTGGTATTTTGTCCCAGCAACAAAAAGTTGCCAACACACTATTCTAATCCATTTGTTCTCACTAAAGTACTAGAAATCTAGAATCTGTGTCAATCAATATTTTACTGAAGTAACAGTAAGTACGTCACATTTACAGCTTTGAAAAGCAAAGCATATCCCCAGGCTACCTTATTCTAGAAGTCAATGAACCAATTCTGGTTCCCACCATCTTATAGTTTTATTAAAACAACTACATCTATCAATTTATGTGTGATTTATGAATGCTTCCCCACTACACTAACAGAGAATAAAGATAGAAGCACAGCAACCAAGACCGCAGGGCCCTGAAAACCTAAAATATTTAGCACATGACCTTTAACATGATCAGATAACAGTTTCTTACCCTAGATCTAGGACATTGCTTTCAACAAATAAGGCAAAGAATAGCAAAGAAAATAAAATGGCATATTCATCACAGAACTTGGTAGAGTAATGCAAGCCCCCTATTGATCTATTTTTCAGGAAAAAAAAATTACTATGAAGAATTACTATGAAGAATTTTTATTTTTCAAGACAAGGTCTCTCTGTGTAATCCACTATGGCTGTCCTGGAACTCTCTATAGACCAGACTGGCCTTGAACTCACAGAGACCTGCCTTCCTCTGCCTCCCAAGTGTTGGGATTAAAGGCCTAGGAAGAATTCCTATTTCTACACAATTCCAATTTCAGTATGAAACACATTACTTTAAAAATAAGAGTTCTATTACCTCAATTCTTGGTTTCTTAGCTTCTGCTAAAACTTCATCTGCAGCTCTTTTGACTATAAGAAAAAAGAAGCAAGTAAGTGTGCACTTTAGGAAAGGGGTTTTTAATGTTCACGATAAAGATGTGACATGGTGTACCTTGAGTAGACCGCTGAAGACCTATTTCCAGGGGGGCGCTCCTATCTATGCTCGCTGATGTTGCTGAAAATGGAAAGAAAAATCATATAAGCAGATCAATATTTGCACATATATTTTGGATGTTATCCCAGGAGAAATGCTCAAGCTTTGTTTTATTTCTTATATCCACAGACGGATTTCCCTATGTAAAATGGTTTCAAAAAACAACTCTATAGAAGTATTTTATTAACAGGATGTCTTTGTGTTCTGAAGTCTATGAAAGAACAAATGATTTTTAACAATTTAGCTTACAAATTAATGAGATGCTAGTTACTGAAGTTACTTGGTCAGTTCAGATTACACTCCCCTATAAAAAACACACATTTAGAGAGTATGCTTCCCCCCAAATACTTAAATATACACACTATCAAATTAATATAAAAATGTAAGTTATTCACAATCAGTAGGACACTTCCAACTATCCTACAAATTATTTTACTTTTAAATGGCTCAAATATAATATAGTGAGAGAGTACCTAGTCCCTTCCACCAAGTTCCTACTCCCTTATATGACTAGTTATTATTGTCTTGCATATCCTTCTACAAATACACGAAATACAAATTATACTTTATTTATACTTTTGTGCACAAAGAAAGCATAATACACAGGATATTCTAAAACTTGTTTCCCATTTACAAAAGAGTATAAGCTCAGATACCCCTTCCATACCAGTACATAGGTAGTTCCCTAACTTTTTCTTTTCACAGCTATGGGGTATCCTATTGCATGGAAAAATATAATTCACTTAACTAGTTCCCTATGGTTGGCAGTTCGATTCTAAGTCTTTTGTTATTACAAACAACAGCATGAAGAAAACTCACATGAATGTCACTTTTCACATTTTAAAGTATAGGACAGCTCCAAGGTAGGGTTTCTAGTTCATTGGTCATGAGCTGTCTACAGCTTCAGGAAGATTATAAAGTGACACAACCACAGTACCAAATGACCCTGCAGTCTCACCAGAGTTCACTGGCAAACAGCAAACGTAGTCCTACCTTTATACCCTTTAAATCACACCTATGAGTATTTACATTATAACTATTCAAGCTATTGGTCTTTTGTGTGCCTATTTCCAAGGTCACATGATTATTGGTAACTAGTATAACTGACTGTATAGTTGATGAAACATTTTCCCAGCATAATCTTTTTTGTTGGTAGTGGTTTTGGTTTTTTGTTTTGTTGTTGTTTTCAAGACAGGATTCTCTGTGTAGCTCTGGCTGCCCTTGAACTAGCTCTGTAGAGCAGGCTAGCCTAGAACTCCCGAGTGCTTGAATTAAAGTTTTCACCACCACTGCCTGGTTCAGAACTGTTTTATTTTTAATCAAAACATTAACTGATAATCCCACCTTCCTTCATTGCTCTCACATCTTTATTCAAATGTTAAACTGACATGTGTATTTCTGGAGTCAGATGCACTACCATCATACTATAAGGCCAGTCTCACATTTGTATTTCTTATCTAATGTATAAAAATTGTTTTATTAATGTATCTACTCATTCTCTGTTTTTATTTTTTATCTTTAAGTTCTACACTCCAGAATAATTAATGTCTGCTCATTGCTTTTCCTCAAATTGTTAAGACACTCAATTTTACTAAATAAAATTTAAAATTATTTAAATAGTTCTACTGCTCAAGAAATGTTGCCTAGGCTTCTGTTGAGATCACACTTTCAAACATGTAACTCATGTCAACAGAGAATATCTTTAAGCTATTGATTATAGTTATTATCTTAACTGCAGTTCAACTTTTTCATGAACTAGCAACATGTTTTATTTACTCAAAACAACACATTTGAGAACTAAATTTGTCCTATAGCTAACACACAACTCATTGAGACTCTCCCAAAGTGAATGGATTTACCAGGTGCATCTGAGACACTAAGTAAAACTGAAGAATCCTACACTAATTTCACTTCATTTTTAAGAGAATAAGAGTGAGACTAAGAAGAAGAAAAAAAAAAATACGAGTTTTTAACAGGTATGCCATGATTCTCATGGTCTAAATAATTAAATTTGCTTTGATTCAAAACAAAAATAAAAAGCCTTTTTTTATCCTTCCATCTCAATTGCCTTTGCAGGAATGGAATTCCTCCCCATTTCTTGTTTACACTGTATGAAAGTAATAAGACTTTGCATTCTGTACAATGCCCAGCATAAAACGACTTAAGAATTAAGTATGGAGGGCCAATGAGATGGCCCAACACATAAAGTACCTGCTATACAAACCCAGTAGTCTGAGTTTGATCCTTAGAAACTACACATAAAGGTAGAAGAAAACTAACTCCAAGTTATTCTCTGACCTCCATATACATACAAGCTGTGGCACCTACATACACACACAATTTGCAAAAAAAGAAAAGAAAAAATTTATAAACAGTAAGTTAGGAATTTGCAGAATGAAAATATCACAAGAAGGCAGTCCTGGACGTCTTCCTATTATGCACAATATTCTCTATACACCCCAACACTATACTTAAAAACATGGGGCAGAACGTATAACATAACTGCTATTAATGGCTTAATGGTAATAATAAATTCTATCCCAGGAAAGGTAAGATCTATTTCTATAACACTAATTTATGTATATCCAATAAAAAATTATTCAATTACTAAAAACAGCTGTTCTAAGCTTAAATGAGTAATAAAATAAGTCAACTAAAACAACTGTTTCCTTTAAGATTCACTCTCTAGTAGACAATATCTAAGTAAGCAATAAATATAACTTCAGGTAAAAATATGCCATTTATTTGGAAAATAAATAGAATTTGATTACATATAGACAGATATGAGGGTGGGTATTATTCTGTACTTTAGAATAGTCAGAGATGTCTTTTCTGACAGAACAATATCTGAAAGAATATTTGAGCATGGATGGATGGATGATGGGAGCCCAATAGCAATACAGACAATTGAAGACAGAAAGAATAGCAAACACAGAGTCTCTAAGATTAACTAAACCAACAGAAAGATCACTGATGGCTTCAATAAAGGAAGAAAGATGGAAGATGAACTCATAGAGAGTCAGGCAGAAACATGATCATGGAGTCTAAACGGTAAGAAATATGAGCTTTGGGCTAGAGGGATGCCTCAGAGGTTAAGAGCACTAGCTGCTCTTCCAGAAGTCATGTGTTCAATTCCCAGCAACCACATGGTGGCTCACAACCACCTATAATGAGATCTGCAGGCTTGCAGGAAGAACACTGTATATGTAATAAATAAATAAATCTTAAAAAAACAAACAAACAAAAAAAGAAACATGAGCTTTATCCTAAGTGTAATGGAACCCACAAATGGCCTTGAGCAGACAAATGGTTCAATTAAATTCACAGTTTTCCAAAAACAAATCTTATTAGATACAGAATAAACTGTAGCAAATAAAGAGTAGGAACATTGGAGGTTTTAAAAGAAGTCGTCAAGAGCTGGAGTGGAGAAAATGTCTTGTTTTTCAAGCCTGAGAAAAGTACTTAACAAATGGTGTAACTATGCCAAAAAATCGTTTCACTGGGGTTTATACCCTAAGTCACTACATGAAGTTATATAAGGTAGCATTGCTCCTCTCTAAGATGAGAACAAACTCACTGTTTTGTTTTGTGTGGGTGGAAATGGGAAGGAGAAAACTGAGCATTCTATTTTGAACATACTAAATTTCAGAAGCCTGTTAAGATTTAAAGGAAGATGACAACAGTAAATGTATAAATATGAAGCTGAGTCAGTGGGAGACATACGCAACTGACTCTTAAACATGGGAGTTGGAACACTGATTCTCTCAAGTTGAAGGCTCATATATAAATTTGACTTCTCAAAAAAACTGCTTAAAAAAAACTAATACATTGCTGTTTACCAGAAGCTACTTAACAATAAGATACTCAGTAACCCATAATTTAGTATGCTGCACATATGATACATAATAGAAACACTATCTAAGAACTGCAAGAAATCCCTTCTTGCAATAGCATACAATATTCAAACAGGTTATTACAAGATTATATTACAAGACATTTTAAGCAGATATTTGTGCTGACTGCGCTCACTACAACTGTCAGAGGTGACTATAAAATTACTACATACTACCCTTGATTTTACATAGTTATGACTTGTTTGTTTACATTTCTCTCAACAGTGAACAGTATCAATATGGTATAGAAATATCATGTGACAAAGACATTCTGAAAGGTAAACAATGAAAAGAAAGAATACCCAAAGTCTAGGTTTGAAACATCAAGTGAAGAACTTCAAAGAAGCACTCTCAGTATCAAATACTCCTAGGTGAAGAGGGGAAAAGGAAGCAAAGGATGAGGCAACTCCAAATCTCTGACTTTAATGGGATAGTAAGGATAAAAGCTAAGCAGGAGGAACTTCAAGCAGGTAAACAAGTAGTAGTGATGCCAATTCTTTCTTTTTATAGTAATAAGAACAGTGATAAATAGAAATATGGAATCAGCCAGGCAGTGGTGGCAAACACCTTTAATCCTAACACCCAGGAAGCAGAGACAGGTGAATCTCTGTGAGTTCAAAGCCAGCCTGGTCTATAAATAGTGAGCTTCCGAATAGCCCGGACTACATAGAAAAACCCTGTCTCAAAAATAAAAAAAGAGGAAGAGAAATATGGAATCAAAAATAATTTTTAAAGAGACATTTCTACATATATTCAAAAGAAAGGAGAAAACAGTAAAACAAAACAGAAATAATAATTTACAGAAACAAAGGTCATTGACAGTATAGAATCCCCATGCAAGGGTGGAGTGACAGCCTAAAAATAGACAAAGTTGTGCAACTACAGGGAGAAGCACACAGACATAGCTTCAGGTAAGGTATTTAGTAGAAATACAGACTTCTCCCTACATCTTATTGCATAGGGAAGATTGGAAAAAAACAATGTTTCAAAGTGGGTACAATTATAAAACTACTCACATGCTTCCCCATTGAGATATCCAAGTAGATCTTTTCGGTCAGGTCTTCTAACCACAGGAATATTTTCAGTCTGAAGCAAAAATTTTAAATTAGATATTGAGTGGAAGCGCTATGAAACTTAAAAAATAACATTTACCTCTGAATTTACCATACCTTAGTAATATGTATTTAAAGTCACATTTGTTTTTTAAAAACAGCTAAAAATTATCTAAAATTATTGAAAATTTCTCAAATGTTAATTTTCAGTAACTTTACTTTGGAAATTTCAATAAGATAAATTCAAGACACTAGTTTGAAAGTAAGTAATAACTTTATCTTTCTTCAGAGTATCAATCTCAGACTCTCTGGAATTAAAGACATGGTCCAGCACTACCTAGTTGCTACTTATTTTTTAACTGCACTCAGAATGTTATACACATACAGGGCCACTAACTTCTCAGTCCTAATATTGTCTTATTTTATTCTTTGTCTGTTGTGCTTTATTGCCACACAGACCCAACTATTATGTAGTTCTAAAGGAACTACATAAACCACTAAATATAAAATTTGATAATTTACAAATACATGAGAAAAAAATAAGCTAAAAGAAAATGTTAATTGTAGTAGTTTACCACATTAGAGCCATCTGAGAAGCTGCAATAAAAAGAAATTATATCTTTTTACTCTTGTGTATATAAATTCAGATAACACGGAGGGGTAAGATGTGAAAAATTTGTATCTGAAAATGTGATCAATTTAGAAAAATGAGTAATTTTCCTTTAATCTACCTGGTCACCATTTGTAAAAATGATTAAAACTAGGGTGGGGTAGATATCGCAGCAACTAGAGCACTTGAATTTGATTCCCAGTATTCCTGTCAAGTGGCTCACAACCTGTAATTCCAGTTTTTTGATTATTTTTTGTTTTTTGAGGTTTTTTTGGGGGGGCATAGATTACTCATATGTACTTAAGACACACACACACAGAGACATAATTAAAAATAGCACATCTTTTTAAAAGATGATTAAAACAAACAGAATTTATACTTCAGGTATCAAGTCATCTTTGGACCAATGAATTTTGCCATTACCACAATTTTCCTTATCATTTTTCTAATGTACAAAACAGAGTAAAAGAAAAACTTGTTGCTAAGGGATTACACAGACTGAAACCTTTCCCAACTATTACAAACAACAATGAAGCAATAGGAACCTTAGTTAGTATCACTAGTCAATTACCTCACAATGACTACTATATGTCACAACACCCAGTATTTGCACATACTTTTTTCTCTTAGCTGAACAAATAAATCACTTAATTTTTCTTACACAAGTCAGGCTAAATTTTAGCTTTTCCTTATGAGTATATATACAAGTTTAGAAACTTACAAATATTTCTGTCCTTGTCATTTTTTAATCACCCTACATGGAATACTACACATATCTGAATTGATGTTCTTTAAATCCCTATCTCAAAGCCTGATAAGGTATAGCCCACATTAGAACCACCCGAGAAGCTGCTGGTCTGCTGACCCTAAAAGGCACCAGGAGTCAGGAGCACCTTCTCCAGGAAGAATCAGTGCAACAAACAGCAAGTAATGTGGAAACTGAAAAAGCAACCTCTAATCTGTATAACTACAGAATTTCACATTTCTACCACTTTTAGTTGTAAAAATTCTTAAGAAAATATGTGTTACATCTTATATGACTTTAAAATCCTAGGGTCCACAGTAACAACTATAACTATTAGTTATTAACAAACAATTCTAATTATTGCTTGATTTAGTTTTGGTTTTTTTCTTTGTTGCAGTTTTTTTGTTTTGAGAAAGGGTTTCTCTGTAACAGTCCTGGTTGTCCTGGAAATCCTTTCATAGATCAGGCTGTCCTGGAATTCAGAGATCCACCTGCTTTTGCCTCCCAAGTGGTGGGATTAAAGGCATGCACCACCACTGCCCAGTGCTTCACTCATTTTTACGTAAAGCTCTAATAAAGAACAATATAATGGTCAATTGCTAATATGTTCTCTACTACTTACCAATTATAAGGATTTAAAAATGTGTTCAACACTGAATATGTTTCTTGCTCAGAATAGCAGTCCTACTGAATATGAATACTAAAGCCATTCAAAGTGAGTCCTTTCTCAGCTTGTCTAAATAACAAATTGCCATCTAAATACTTCAACTCTCAGCTTTGAAGGAAAGGTCATAAAGGTAAATTTCCTACAATATAATGCAATCCAGCAGTAGTGTGAAATAGCCAAAGAGTGGCTCTAGTGACGGGAGGCACAATGTTGGTGCTTATGAAGAGTCTGTTTTAAAACTTAAATTTACTACTTTAAATTAATACAATGCACTAACACATGTACTCATAAGCTAAACCAACATTTAGAGTGGACATTTGATTGTATCAGTATTTCCAAAATAATTCTATGTCCAACTCTACCAAGGGATCTGATAACGACCTCATTTGTAATAAAAGCTAAAAGGCTATGGATATGTCTAAAAGAATACTTGCCTAGTATGCATGAAGCCCTGTGTTCAATGTCCAGCACCATATGAACAAGACATGACTGCACACACATCACACATCTAATCCCAGCACTTGAGGTAGGGGCAAGAGAATCAAAAGTTCAACATCATCACCTACAAAGGTTCTGGAGGCCAGCCTCAGCTCCACGAAACCTCTGTGTTCCTCCAATACCCAAAGGAAGTATCTGGGGAACCATCTTATTTTGACATTTATGGCAATTTGCAACATCAAACTCAAATAACTCTGAATCCCATTTCCTATTTATTTATCAATTTTTAAAAGTCCCTTGCCCATCATAACAAGCTATGTGAAATGAAATATTTTTAATTATTTCTAATGATTTCTTTCCTCCTCTCAACAATGGATTTTCAAACACTGAAAAGTCAGATAAGACTTAAAAACAACAAATTTGTCAATAAAGTACAAAAATAAATGTACTGTTTAAAAATTCTAAAACTATCTGTTCACATTGGACTAATTTATTTTTTGAGATTTCATATTGCAGTACTGAATTTATAGCATTTTTTTTTGCCCCTCCATGCCCTGTGTTGTTTATACTAAATTTTCTTAAAATTAAGCTATAGTTCTGAATTATCAGAGTTCTTCCAACCAGCTTATATATTTTTGAGACCTCTATGAAAATGCTTTTAAAACATCTACTGTTGTGCAAGGCAGTGGTGGATTGAGCCTTTAATCCCAGCACTCAGGAGGCACAAACAGGCAGATCTCTCTGAGTTCCAGGAAAGCCAAGACTAAGAAGAGAAACCCTGTCTCCAAAAACAAACAAAAAAGTCTACTGTTATAAACATTACCTACATTTTTACATGAATAATGAATTGCCAATTAACACAATTGAGTAAATCACATAGCAGCTTAATTTTGACTCTCCAAAACAATTTCAGACATGTGAAACCCATAAGTGAAAGTTTTCTACACCAAACAATAATTGCCTAATCAATGAAATTTTAAAATGAGTTCTACTTACAGCTGCACGTCGGACATAAACTGGATGAGAAAGATGCACATTATTAAGTAGAAATAAGATAGAATCCAATGTGTAGTATTCTCTGGGTTGGCCTTCCTTTCCAGTCCTAAAATGATTAAAGCATGAGTTTTATTATGATGTTTACATCAATTATTTGACCTTAGTTAAATGTATTCATTCATCTATATCTAGCTGATTATCTAACAATATATTTAACACTGCAAACAGATATGTGCACTACAAATACTCACAAGTGAGTTGTTGTTGAGAAAACAAGACAAAATTAAAAAAAAATGAAAGAAACATGGAGAGCATATAAATTCATATTCTAAAATACTATATACACTTTTTTCTTTTCTATTTTTAAGGCAGGCAAGGTCTCATGTTTCCCAGCTGACCTCAAATCTGCTACATAGCTGAGGGAGGCATGTTGTATGTGGTGCTGAAGATCAAATGCAGGAACTCATTCATGCTAGGCAAGCACTCTACCTAACTGGGCCTCACTTTACACATAAATTGAGTTCTGGGCTCTGTCAACAGAGAAAGAAACCCAGCTAGTTGCACAATGGGAAGGATCATTCAAAGAAAACAAACTGCTTAGGGAAATGTATCACTAGGGTTGCACTTACAAAATGAACATCTTACTGTTCTTTCCAAACAAGATCCTCAACAATATACTGAAAAGTAAACAGGTTCAACTTCAAGGGTAAAATCCTTATGTCTCTCAAACTAGATCAGTGACACAAAACCAAAATACAATTCTGTCTTTGATTAAACAATGTAGTCTTGGAAGTACAAGCTCTCTACGCTAACACAGTTTTCCAATTCTCCCTTCTTCCTCAATGTATAGTTATGATGGTTAAACTATATTAAACCATTTGAATGCAGCTCATTGTTATTTATACTAAACTTACCTTACTAACCTCTATTATCACTTTTCCTCTATCAAATCAGCCATTACATGTTAATCGCTATAGAAAATACTTATAAAACTAGAAGTACTGAAAGTATACTGATTAGTCTTTTATATATGTACATATAAATATATACATATTTATATGTACACACATGCAGAAAACAACTATTGAAGGTTTGATGTTGAAAGTGCTGGGATTAAAGATGTGCACTGCCTGGTTTAGAACTAAATCGTAAACAACTGTAAAAACATTTCACATCAACTTAATCTGTTTCATCTTTTCTGCCCAAAATAGGTTAACCTAGTGTAAGGTAGGTAGGAATCAGAGTTTTCAACTTTTTTCTATTTCTCAAATTAAACTTCTTTATACCTTGAGGTGTTTTTTGTTTTTTTTGGGGGGGGGGTGTGGTTTGGTTTTTTTGAGACAGGGTTTCTCTATTTAACAGGCCTGGCTGTCCTGCAACTTGCTTTGTAAACCAGTCTGGCCTTGAACTCAGAGATCCACCTGCCTCTGACTCCTGAGTGCTGGAGTGTGTCTTTTGCTACCACACTCATCTATCCATACCTTGAGGTTTTAAAGAAAAATATCCATTAAAGTCCAATTTCTGGGTAATTTATTTGAAAGAGTTAAAACACTGTAAACTCGGAATGTCACTTAATCAACATTTCAAAATGGGAACCAATACGTCAAAAGAAATCTTAAAATTTTCTTGTTTTTCACTGACCATTCATAAAGTCATTCAATCAAACAAAACATAAGTACCAAAATTCTAATTACCAAAGCGAAACATCAAAGACAGTAACAACATTAAAGAGGCCCCAAAGGCCCCAAAGGATTATTAAACTAATTATTAAATTAATAATTTCTTGAATGACTTAAATTCATGGCACGCATGGATCAGTATTCCCAAACATTTTTTCTTTAGGGCGCTTTCCGAAAAGCACATAGGATCAATTTCTCAGACCCGTATGCATAACTAACTGACGGCATTTCTCCATTAACTTTCTCCCCAACCAAGTCCTGCTTTCATCTCGAACACTGATTTTGCAGACTTCCAAACTCAATCTCCTTCTTTCTTAAAGTTCTAGTACTAGTCTATTCCCTTTTCCTTTTTTTTTTTTCTTTTCCTTGAAGAACAGTATCATCCTCCCCAATTATGAAGGGGGGGGGAGATTGAAACAAAATTACCCTGGCGCTCCAAGAGCCAGAGGAGACAGTTGCAACACATGGCAGCCTCTGGGCGAAAAAAAAAAAAAAAAAAAACTAAGAACAAAAAAAGCGACTCGGTGGCCGCCAGACTCTATGCTTCGTGCTTCTGCACCTACGTCCAGGTAGCCGCGCAGCCAGCCGCCCTCCCCGGCGCCGACACCCTAGACACCTCGGTGGACAGCGGCTGGCAGAGTCTCAAACTCCCAGGGTCGCTTTCCCTGTGGCATCCCCAACGCAGAACACACTTGACCGCTGCAGAATGCGCTCCACCCGTCCGCCGTCCCCTGCTCACCCGCAAAGTGCAACTTCTGCTGCCGAGAACAACTTTTCCCCCGCCCCGAGCACCCGTTTTCCTCCATCCCCGAGGGACGGGGATGGGGGCGGGGGCCGAGGGACGAGGTCGCCCGGGGGCGCCCGGCGCTGCCCCGCCGCCAGCAGGCCACGGCCGCGCCGCACTCACCCCCAAACTACATAGTTGGTCTTCACATTCTTGGGCCACGAGAACTCCCCGAAGATCACTTCATCTCCCTTGACCACGATCTCCTTCTTCTGGATGTTGTACTGTCGCAGGACGCTGAGCACGTCCGCCATCTTCGCCCCCCTCGCCGCCGCCGCGGGCCCCGGCCACCGCCGCCAACGCCGCCGCCGCCGCGCCTGCCTCCTCCTTCCCCCGTCGCCTCGCCCTCTCCGCCCGCCCGCCCGCCCGCCCGCCCTCTCCGCCCGCCGCCGCCGCCGCGAACCAACAGCCGCCGCACTAACAGCCGCCCGCGTCTACGACAGCAGCACGGGCAGAAGCCACCCAGGCCGCCGAGGACCCCGCGCTATATAAGGCAAGGCCCCGCCGCGGGCTGCCCGCGGAGAACGCCTGACTGACCCACGCCCCGCCAGCGCCGCGGGCCGCCGCCGCCAGGGGGCGGAGCGACCGGACGAGCCTCCCACGCCCCCGCGGGGCACGCCGCAGACTCCGGGGAAACGGGGACAGGAGAGCGGCCGCGCCGATCCCGGGTGCCGAGCTTTAAGCGGAGCTGGGGGCCCTGCGCGGGCTCCGCGGCGCGCACTGGGGCGAGCGCAGAGCTTGCACCCGGCGAGCGAGCGACAGGTGCGCGCGCACCTGCCCTGCCGGGCGCTTCTGTACTTGGAATGCCGGATCGCGCGCGCCGAGTTCATCGACTTTCCTCCCGGGGCGGTTTTGCAGACAGACTATTTTGTAGGTCCCTGTGGTCAGGATGAGCTACTACCGAAAACCGGGGGTTTGCAATGTAGACGTTTTGTGGTTTGAGTTGAGTTTTGACTAGGGGTGGATCTGCAAAGAGGAAAAGACAGAGTCGGAAAACAACAGTTCGGGCACCATCTGTGGGTCGCTGCTGGTCTCCTAACCACGCTTGGTTGGTGGACAGAATAAAATTAATACGAGAATAAGCTGAAAGCATCCTAACGCGTCGATGAGATGCAATTAATTGTTTACTCTTAGGCTTCCTTTCTTTGGAAATAACTTTTTCCATCCCCACAACTTCTCCCGGGTAATCACCAAAAGTCTCAAATGGTTTCAGTTTGTGAACTGGGCGGGGTGGGCATCATTCGGAAGTCTCAAACTGTGAATTACACACTATGGGATTGTTTGGCTTGGTTTGGTTTGGTTTTCGAGACAGGGTTTCTCCAGGCTGGCCTTGAACTGACAGAAATCCATCTGCCTCTGTCTCCAGGGTGCTGGGATTAAAGGTGTGTACCACCACTACCTGGCCTCTGTGGCTGTGGCTGACTGCATTCTGATCTTCAGGCAAGCTTTATTAGATCATAAACAAAATATCACCACAGTAGTTAGTGCCCTCAATATTAAATGTTTTCCCTATAGAATCAGCAGCTGCTGCTGATTAAGCCTTTCACACAATATTTCTTGAAAGGAAGGAATGCTTCATAGCCAAATAATAACATATTTACACATGCGCATATGAACACACATCCACATTAAGTCTACCTAATACATCCATTGTTGCTATTATTATCATCAGATTGTGATATTATAATTAGTCATGATAATACAAAAAATAAAGATACCACTGTAACTTCATGTGTTCCTTCCTTATTCTCACTTCCTCTATGAAGTTTTGAATTTCTGAACTGTATTATTTATTTCCCTGTAAGGAAGATCTGTGTCCAATAAATCCTTTCCATTTGTCTGAGAAGGTCTTTATGTCTCCTTCAGTTTTACAGGATAACTTTTTAAAGTGTAAAATTGTAGTTTAGTAAAGTTTAAGGCTTTAATTTTGTTTTAGAGGGTTGTTTATTTGTTTGAAGAACAGTGTCTTGCCATGTGGCTGAGATTGGCATCAGACTCAGTTAGTAGCCCAGGCTAGCTCAAACTCTCTGTCCTCCTGCCTTTACTTCCCGAGTGTCTGGGTATAGATGTCACCAACCATATCCAGCTTGTCTCACTACTTTCAGTATCACCGTCTATTCCCTCCTGTTCTGCATGCTGTCTCAAAAGGTAAATGAAACTCTTTGCCTTGTTCCTCTGTTGCTCAGGTATTTTCTCACTTCTGGACTTACTCAGAATTTAGTGGTATTCTTTTTAACTGACACCTAATATACACATATATGTGACAATATGATAACTTGACACCTACATGTAATGAACAAACCAAAGTAATTGGTGTGTCTGTCTTCTCAAAAAAATTGTATCTGTGGATTATGAATATTCAGTATCACCTCTTCTAATTCTTTTTTACATGTAATAGATTGTGTGGACAATAGTTACTATGCTATAGAACCTAAGAACTAACACTTCCTAGCTATTGTATTTTGTATTAATGATAGGATTCTGTCTTTGTCTCATATTTTCTGTAGTTTGGAATCAACACTTTGGAAGTGAAGGGTTTGTTGTTTATTTTATTATAGGGAAGAAGTGTGTTACTCTCTGTGGTGTTCTCTGAACTTCTTGTATCTGTGGCTTGCTATCTCACAGAAACGTGGTTATTATTTTCTTATTTTCTGTTCCTTCCTCTGTCTTCTTCTAATAGTCCTTGGGTATTTAGTTCTGTATCTTCCAATCTTTGTTGTCTTTGCTTTTCAGTTTGAAGGATTCCATTTGAAATTATCTCAAACTCATAAATTATTTCCTCAGTCCTGTCTATTCAAGTAATCCCTTCGAAATCATTCTTTGTTTCTGTCACAGTATTTTCGTTTTACTTTCCTACTTCATTTTTACAAGTAGGCTGTTGTTGTTTAGCACTGAGTGGCCTGAAACTGGATATTCTTGCCTCTGTCTTCTGAGTCCTGTGATTACAGGAGTGCCCTGCCATGCCAAGCCCCGTTACTGTGTTTTGATGACTACTGTTTCTTTGATAAGATTTCCTTTCCCCTGCTGGCATGGCCCATCTGTCCTTGCCTGATGCCGTCTCTGTCTAGTAGAGCTCCCAACACATACATTATTGTTTTCAATCCTCCTCTTCTGATAATCCCAACTCTCCTGCCATGTCTTTCTGATACTTTGTACTTTCTCTTCAAATCCTGTCTTTATTCTGTTTGATAAACCTTACAATTCTGTCCTTGATAGCTGGACACAATGTAGCAGTTAAAGGGAACTGCCAAAAGGCCTTGAAATGTGGTGTTAAGTTACAAGGAAGGGGGCACACTGTATAGGCAGACAACTCATTCAGTCTGTAAAGAGGGAGTGTGGCACTGAGCTGATCACCAGTTCTCCTCCGACTCAGAGAGGAGGGACTGTGAGAGCGCTCTGATCATGTACACATCTCTCTTCTCCCACATAGAAGGGCACAGACGACTGCATTTTGATATTCTATCTCATAGGTCAGGTAGGATCTGACAAAATTCCAGCAGACTACACTCAAATTGACTGGCTAGGTTTTCTGTTTGCTTTTTTAGAAGAAACCTTGTTAAGAAAAGATTTCTGTTATATTTCAAAATTCTCTTTTCTCTGCCCCTTGCTGGACAAAACAGGTGATTTGATTCTCTCTGATGTTTACTGATAGAACACAGGTCCAAATCCTCAAGGTTATTATTATAATAGCACAATTAGGACTGGGTCCCCCTCAGAATTGCCCACTCTGCGCCTCCAGCAGCTCATCAGTGTGGTGATTTAGATGAGAATGAGATATGTTTGGTACTTGTCCTCAGGTTATGGAACTGTTTGGGAAGGTTTACGAGGTGTAGCCTTGATGGAGGAGGCTTGTCACTGGGGTCAGGCTTTGGGTTTCCAAAGCCCATCCTGTTCCCAGCTAACTCCTTTTGCCTGTAGGTTGTATCTCAAGATGTGAGCTCTCAGCTACTGCACCAGTGCCTCGACCACTGACCACCTGACCGCTCCCAGGCTCCCTGACATGACAGTCATGGATTCTAACCTGCTGCAACTGTGAGCCCAAATTAAATGCTTGCATAGTCATGGTGTTTTGTTACAGCAATAGAAACCAACCAAGACCATCAGCTATGCTGACATTTTCCAGCCCCAGATCTGGTCCTTATGTCTGTTTCTATGCAGAGACCTGTCCTCAGGTGAGCTATGTCTGTCCAGGTTTGGGGACAGTGGTTATCCCCAAATCCTCTTCTCTCTTACAGCTCCAAGAAAAGCTGTTAATTGTTTACATGTTTTTCTTCTTATTTGACATTAAAATCAATTGTCCTCTGTGTTCCCTGCATATATAACCAACATATCTGGGTTTTATATAAATAATAGTCAGGCATCAACACTTGTTTACTAATTAAATAATCACTTCCCTAATGTCTTAAAATAGAAAAGGATCTGAGATTTACAATTTTAATTTCTTAGTGCATTAAAATTTAATAAAATTAAAACTTTAAAAATTATTTCTATTAATACCTTTTCATTCACTAATTAATTATATAGTTTTTATTTATATATATATTAAAATGTTATGGACACATAATACAATATACATATTCATATCTGGGAACTTGTAGAAGGGAGTTTATTTTGTTGTTTTTCAAGACAGGGTTTCTCTGTGTAGCACTGGCTGTACTGGTATTCACAGTGTAGACTAGACTGGCATCAAACTCAGAGATCTATCTGCCTCTGCCTCCTCAGTGCTGGGATTAAAGGCATGTGATACTATGCTCAGCCTTGAACTTATAAATGATACAGAAATAAATGATAATGACCCAGAAAAATCAGCTGAGATTTAGTTAGTTCAAACTGAAATAAATTTAACCTTGGTCCTGTTTAAACACAACTTTGTGTTGACATTATTTTTACATGATATAAAATTTAAAGACTGGGAGCTGGGAGATCGTGGCACCTTTAATTCCAGCACCCAGGAGGCAGAGGCAGGTGGATCTCTGAGTTTGAGGCCAGCCTGGTCTACAGATCAAGTTGCAGGACGGTCAGGGCTTTAACACAGAGAAACCCTGTCTCAAAAAACCAAAAGAAAAAATTAAGGATTGAATTAAGCCAGAAGTTTATTTTTTACCTTGACATTAAGGCCTTGTTTTCATATATTGTAACTGTCATACCAAAGGCTATTCAATAAATACCCTCTTCAAGGTTTGAAAAACAAATGCAAAAAGTTTACCAACAATTTTATCACTTAGTCATTCTGTCTTATTGAACTGAATATTTCTAATATGAGGACACAACATCTGGATGTTTGTTTGCTCATCAATTAATCTTTAT